CTATAACTGCAAAAAAAAACAAAAAAAAAAAAAAACATCGGCTGCTGCCAATTTTTTAAAACTGGCAAATATTGGCCAATATATTTGTGGATATACAGCTGATTCCTCTTGAAATTACTAGATTTCACCTGCGAAAATGTATCGAAGAATTGTAAACGTTTACCCTTAAAAGGTTCGAAAAAGACAAGCAAAACTGAGTAAGTGAGTTCACAATTGTAATATGTTAAAGGGTTAGTTAATCCAAAAATGAAAATTCTGTCATTAATTACTGACCCTCATGTCGTTCCAAACCCGTAAGGCCTTCGTTCATCTTCAGAACACAAATTAAGATATTGTTGATGAAATCCGAGAGCTTTCTGACCCTGCATAGACAATGCTATACTGACACACCGTAATGTCATGAAGCTACGAGAATACCTTTCTTTGCATACAAAAAGTATTCTCGTAGCTTCATAAAATTACAGACTATTTTAAAGGGGTCATATGATGCGATTTCAATTTTTCCTTTCTCTTTGGAGTGTTACAAGCTCTTGGTGATAATGGGTTTTAATGTTTTTGTGTCATCGCTCCGGCCGGACAGGGCATCACAGTATGGTGAGGGGCGTAACATTTCCGTCACATGCTTGAGGTATTCGGCCAATCACAACGCACTGGATAGCTGGCCAATCACAGCACACCTCGCTTTTCAGACTGATGAGCTTTGTAAAAATCGACGCGTTTCAAAAAGGCGGGGCATAAAGGAGAAACAATAATGTACAGTATGTGGAAAATAATGTGTTTTTTTTACTTTAAACCGCATAAACACATTTCATTACACCAAATACACAAAATAATGTTCTTTTTAGCAGCATCATATGACCCCTTTAATGATGTCCTTACTACCTTTCTGGGTCTTGAACGTCTCAGTTGCGTTGCTGTCTATGGAGCATCAGAAAGCTCTCAGATTTATTTGTTCCTAAGATAAATGAAGGTCTTACGGGTTCGGAACGACATGAGGGTCAGTAATTAATGACAGAATTTTCATTTTTGGGTGAACTATCCCTTTAAGACATGCATTCCTAACGCTGTGTTCAAGTAATGCTAGAATTGCATTTTCTCACTAGAAAAAAAATCCGAATTTTATAAAACTCGCTGAAGATGCAAGTGACATGCAAAAAGTATTACAAGAATCTGATGTGACTCATTTTTTCATTTCACCAACCATTGGCAGATGTGGCAAAAACTTAATTTTGGACTCTGTCTAGTCAGGTTTTCAGCCTGGAATTAACGTGAAAAAAACCTCTTTAACTGCACAGAGATGTTTCAGAGACTGCAGGCGAACTCATTCGTCATACTGGATATAACTGTCGGCTTATCACACATACACCCATTTCATCAACACATCACAAAACTCATCTCAGTCTCACACATCTTGTGGATGTATGTCTATGTAGTCTCTGGTAAGTGATGCATCACCCGTGGGGATTTGAAGGTAAAACATGTCTGAGGATGTTTAATTTCCTGCTCTACACGCCGCTCAAGCTTTCTACAGGAAGTCAGTCGTGCACACGCTGACCCCTCGGGTGCCTTTCTCTGATTTTAAAATAGTAGGTCACGCTTTAGGCAGCTGGAGGAACTGGCTGACCTTCTGCTGATTCAACACCCACCCATCCCCGTCCAAACTAAAGCCCTCATCTGGATAAACTCATATCCTCCTGAGTTGTGACTGCCCTGCAATGATTTTAATGCTCTTATTTAGTTTCCAAGTGTCCAGATTTGGTTTTAATACTTTTAAGCCCAGCGGATGGATGGAGATTATTTTCCGCTGACCTTGAGCTCAACTTTCAAAGTATAAAAAGCCTTTGAATAAAGTTTGCTCCAATTTAAAAGAACTGAACAATTTACAACTGACAGCATATCACAGCATCTCACTCGTTTTGAACTAAAATCACTCAAATACCATTGCACATTTGTGGTTATCACAAATTTCTGTAGAAGTTTTCTACAAATAGCAAAAGGCTGAGGAAAACATCCCCAGAAAAGAAGACAGTGGCTTTCAGAGCATTGACGTGAATGCGAATAATCCTTCGATAAAATGCCAGGCACTTCTGTTTGCCTGACTTTTGTGCTGAATAACGATAATGACGGCTAAATGACAGTGATTATCGTTCCTTTTATCCTTCAACGGGCCCTTCTGAGAACACTTGAATCAGAGGAAGAGAACATATGACAAATCAAGAAAGTAGCCATTGTTATGCATCATAAAGGACTGTAAGGCCACACAAAACACTGGCATACAGTATGTCTATTATATAATTTGGGCTCAGCACATTACAGACTTTCTCTCGACAGGGGCATTAGTGTTTATGTGCAGAAGATGCATTAAATCAGGCCAATTAGGTTAAGGTTTTAATAGAATGACTTTAAAGCTGCTGAGGCAGAGCAATTTTATACTAGGAGGCAGTACTAAAATCCCTCAGACACACTCAGGATAAGTGAAAGATAGAGTGCTAAGATACACTATACGCTGATGAATCTCTTGTAGTTCATCTGTTCAAGTCTGTCAGGAGAGCTGGATTTGAACTCACATTGCCTGTATGAGCACCACGGCTCAATGCGTCAGAGCACCTGCGTCCACCAGTAAGCCACGGCTCTGACAACTGTTACACAACAGATTTAGTGTTTAGTTTGCAGGGATGGACTCTCTCCAGGACTGTTGGTTTATAATGCACCATTAACAGCTTCCTCGAGCGACTTCCTCTGGTTGAAGGAGCGCTTATTGCTTCTTTAAACAACACTCAAGCAAAAACATTGCCAGTAGCTCTGGTTTCCAATACACTAACACAACATACTGTGTGAGGTCCAGCAGGGGTTTGTGGTTGTGGCTTTGTGATGAGAGGCTAATCCATCCTTTTGCTGTAGGGTTTGTATGTGTGTTTGTAAACCTTGGACAGCAGGAAACAACAGAGGGAGGTGCTGATGTGAGAAGGACAGAGAAACATCTGCAGCTCTAGTCCTTCGGTGATGTTTAGACTGCATACACTTGCAGATATGTAATATTCCTCTGAATGACATTTGAATATGACATTACGGGCGGACATTTTACACTTTTCTTTTTTTTTAGGAATACATTGATATTAAACTTAAAAATACATAATAATAATAATAATAACAACAATAATAGTAATAATAATAACAATAATAATAATAATAATAATGATTATTATTATTATACTATTAATATTATAATATTAAAAATACAATATTATACTATTTTAATTGAATGTATTCTAAATCATTTAAAAGTAAAAATAAATATCATTTAAATCACAACATTATAACAGTACAGTTATAAGAAATGGATATTCATTTTAAGTTTTGGTAAGTGTTTTCTTCATTTGAGATACATCAAATGAGCATTAAATTACAGATAAGCTAAATATAAATAAATACATAAATAATCCAATAAAGGAGAATTGAGTACTATTAAATACCCCAAACTATCAATAAATCAGCCAATATATCCAATAATGACTAATATGATACATTTACAAATCTCTAATATGTCTATATAAGTTTAAAAATTTTGGCAACCCTAAATTGTATTATATCATTACCAATTTGAGATATTATTTTAGTTTTAAAACCTAATTTGTGTGATTTACTAGCATTAAATAACCAAAAATAATAAATGGAAAAAAAGAACACAGAACAAAACTTTACAATACAAAAAACAAAACAAAAAACCCCCCACAAAAAACAACACACACACACACACACACACACACACACACACATAAAATAGAAAAACAACAAAAAAGCACAAAACAAAAACACAAAACCAAACAAAAAGCAAAGCAAAAAACAAAAACAAATAACAACAACAATAATAATAATAATAATAATAATAATAAATTAAATCACAAAATGAATTAGCCAAAATGAAAAAAGGAAAATAAATGGGGGAAAAAACTGAACAAAACTTTACACTACTACTACAAAACACAAACCAAAATAGAATAGCAAAACAACAAAAAAATAACAAAACAAAAACAACAAACAGACACAGAAATAATAAAATTGCAAAAAAGCACAAAACAAAACCAAACAAAAAGCAAAGCAAAACAACAACAGCAAAAGCACAAATCAACACACAAAACCAAACAAAAAGCAAGGCAAAGCAAAAAAAAATAAAAAATCACAAAACAAAAACAAACACACGGCACCAATAATAAACAAACAAAACGCATGTTGCAGAATAAGTTCACATTTTAATCTAAACACATGGTAGAATCCATGGCCTATTAAAGGAGAGCAGGACTAGAGGAGTGAGCTCCTGTACCTGTGGCTGAGCTGCGACCCCCGTAAGCTGGACATGGTATCTTCCAGGTTCTGCCGGAGGTCGAGGACATTCTGAACGGTGCGTTTCCTCTGGGACTCGGGATCTGTAGGAAAGAGCAGAGAGGAGAGGATGAGCGGCCGGTTAATGCAGGCATTTAGCAGCGATGTGACCATACAGAAACAAGCACACCCATGTGCATTAAGATTTAACGCTTTGTGGAGTAGAGCCAAGAAAAACATTAATGTATAGATGCATGTTATCGAGCCATGGTCCACGTCTCCACTCACACACGTACAGTATCTCAGTTTTCAGGAACAACACACAAACGCCTTTCTCTCGCGCTGTGTGCAGATCAACGAAGCAGTGGAATATGACGATTCAGCAAGTGGGCAGCATTTCAGGCAGTACTAGAATGAATTAAACATTACATTTCCAGCTTGCCAAGATACCAAAAGCTCTTTGAGCTACTGTACTAGCAAGCTCACTTAAACAGGACTTTAGTATTTATAAAAGGTCTCCTTTCAGTTTAATTGCTTTCTTTATTTAGGCAAATGTGCTTATACAGATTTATTTGACATTCTAGCTGTAAAACTGTGGGGAAATGCATTATACGTCTTAACTCTGACATGTTGAGGACTGTTTTAAAACTGCTGACAGTAAAAGCGCTGTATTTCGCCTAATCAGCCTCTCACCCTAAAAAAAACAGTGCCGCTATAAGTGTCAGATCATAAAACCACATAGAGCAGTTTATAAAGAGGTTCCCCTCCATTTATCAGTTCATCAGTTTGGCTTCACACACACAGACTCATATGGAATGAAATACTAGTGTAATAATTATCAGATACTGCCAACAATTTATGTTAAAATTATGTGAAACAGAATGAAATATACTGTTAATTTTATACATTAGCACGCTACATTGTTGTCAAATGACTTCACTATGTTTAACTTAGCAAGTCCGCTCATAACTTTGGAAATAAAAATGTCTTTGTAAACATGCCTTAGCTTTTGACTGATCAAATAATGAAAAAAAGAGACTCATTAGTTGATATTGCTTCATTTATACAGTTCATTTGTCACACTGCTAATTTAATGTAGAGCGCTTTGAACTGTGGGATAAAGTCTTCAGTACAATCTGCTCTGGGTGTATACAGCACATTACATATACACAATACATATTGATAATTCCCATACTATATATACTGTAGAAATAGTATGAATACACACACAGACACACACACAACAAATCTCCTTTGTACCTCTCTCCCTACTAGCGGCACCGTGTTGTTCCTTCACACCGAGGCACTAAGTTGTTTTCCAAAACCTTTTCTGCCAATGCATATGTATGCAAGTCTGGTCGACATTGAGGTTTATTCTGGTACCACACATTCATTATTACATTACCCTCAACTTATGATACTACAGGTGTGCAAGTTAATAACAGCAATTTTAACAAAGTTTGTAAAAACAACTAAAAAGATTTTGTTGAAAAGTTCACAAAATTTGCCAACTTTGTTAAATCCAACATGTCACTGTTACCTGGATCCACCTGCATCCACCCTAGAAATTGTGTATAAGTCAACTAACCAGAGCGGAATTAGTGATGACCTGAAATTTTGGCAAGCAAACAAACAAACAAATAAATAATCAGTTTTTGCTAAATGGTTTTGGAGGGAATTTATTACTACCCAAAACAGTTAGTGCTTCTCCGATAACATGTTTTGACTGTTTGAAGTCTCTACAAAACAAAACAAAACAAAACAAAACAACACAAAACAAAAAATAATCAGGAAAATAAATAAATAAATAAAATAATCAGTTTTAGCCAAAATGGTTTTGAAGGGAATTAATTACCGAGCAAAACAGTTAGCGGTTCTCAGATGACGTGTTTTGACTGTTTAAAGTCTCTGCACACAACGTTGACAAATAACAACAGGAGAACATGTCAGTGTCGACACAATTCACAGAGAGCAAAAATCAAGTTTTTGGTTGCGATTGGGAAAATTTGTTTGTCTGAAATATCAAGAGGTAGTTTGTGGTCGAAAAACTTTACTACAACTGGTGTATCACCTGTGAACAAGACACACTGAACTGCATCAATTACCCAGTTAGCCAGCATTATTCAATTTACTTTTTAGGCTAAACGAAGAAAAAAATATTTCATTTTCAGTAAAAAATATATATATATTTCTGTGCATCACTAATTGTAACGACTTCATACGCAATACACTTTCGACAGCCCATGCCGTCTAAGGCAGAAACCCATGTCTGTTTGGTAGGATTAGTCTGTACCTGTCCCTGCCACCTTACATCCCTCCCAAAACCTGATCGCTCACACCATCTTGTATGTTTCCCCTGGGGCGTGTTAATCCTGAAGCTTGACCAGTCAGCACAGCAAGACTCCATTCCAAACCCTCTGTAATGACATCCAGACTGGCATTAGTCAAAGTCCTAGTCTTAATTCACTTTAATCTTCACCATAGAAAAATGATTGTGTGTGATTGTGAGGGTGTGTGTAGTGGATCAGCACATGGAGGTGGCCCATGGCTTTGTGATGAAAATGGAGAACCCCCCATGCGGCCCCCTATGGAGTGTCTCTTCATTCAGGCATAATCTCATACAATTAGACTCATGAAATACAATGAGTGTCCCAGAGTGGTTCAAATGGGCTGCTCTGTAAGTTAGGCTGCTGATGAGGGTGGTTTAATTTACAGTTTGGCTTATACTGTACATAACTGGGGCCTTCTACATTAGGTCATGCTATGCTCTCTCTTAGTCTTAAAGGCTTTAAATACTAATGAACATATAATACTGCATATATTGATCTGAGCAGAGACCAAAAAGGACTTGAAAATATCAACAATATATTCTGCTAAGAAAGTGTGGTGAACAAGCCATAATATCCATTCATGTCTCTATGTTCTCCTGCATAGTTGGACCTGCAACAGATGTAAACAGCTACAACTCTGATGATGCAAATATACCATGGTTCGGAACCAAAAAACAATTTATGAACAGAATCCAGAGGGGGCAGGAGAGGGGGATCCATCAAATTTGGGTTCAGACCAAGCATAACTGTGAAAGCAGCCATAAGCCTTGTTCAGGACATTGTTAAAATAGTCCATGTGACATCAGTTGTTCAACCTTAATTTTATGATATTATTTTAACGATGTCCTTACTACCGTTCTGGGCCTTGAACGTGGTATTTCTGTTCCTGTCTATGCAGGGTCAGAAAGCTCTCAGATTTCATCAAAAATATCTTAATTTGTGTTCCGAAGATGAAGGTCTTACAGGTTTGGAACGACATGAGGGTGAGTAATTAATGACAGGATTTTCACTTTTGGGTGAACTATCCCGTTAACACAGCAACACTGGCTCAACCAACAGTGTAATTTTGGGGCGGGGCTGTCAGTTTGGCTAACCAATGACAGATTGGTATCTTGTTGCAAAACATTTTATTTCATTATTTTAGGCCATTCCTTTGGATATTACATACATCACCATTAATTTAGCAATTCTTGTGTCATAAAAGCAAATATGAGTTGAATTTAAAGCAGGCTGACAATATTCCCCTGTTGACAAGATGACAGTGATGGTGTCTAAAACAGTCTGTGGCTGAAAGGGCCATTAACTCTCTGTGATAGCACACAGCATTAAGCCTTGAGAGGGTAATTACCAGAAAATGGACAGATTTGAGAGAACATGTTGGATTCAGTGGACCTTTTACACCCAAAATATGCACTGCAGATTTGCTTCCATTCCTCGCTGGATTCAGATTTCATATCTGTCACAAAAAAGCATGCATTTTGAAGCATTTTATGCGTCCAAAAACAACATGTGTAACTGTAGCCACTGAGTTTCCTCTCAGTAATATGGAACCGTGTAGGGATCGCTCCAGTTGGCAAGCGGATACATGTGAATTGTCCTATTGAGCTCTGGTGTAATGAAAGGAGACTGAGAAGATCATCACACTTCCACCCCCACGCCTACGGACCCCTACGGACCAGTCCAGCTGGCCAGTGCTGGAATGACCTATGCAGTGAGAGAGAGGTCATGAACCGATGAGGTGTCCATCACCCTGATGGTTGTAGTCTAAGCACGGCCAGTCTGGCAACACCACTCAATTCTGCGGTGATGGTGAGAAACACGCTCACGAAAACATATCACATTGATTTCACCATTAAGAGACGTGACATATAAGAACTATTGATTACAGTGGCTTTGGGAATTAGCTCAATACTGATGATTGAGTCACTGAATGCACAGGAGCACTGTGCCGATCAAAGTGGTCAAGCTGTTCACATTTGAAAGGTTATCTCCACTGGAAAGCGAGGGGGGTGCCAGATAAATATTCATTCAATCATTTGTGGTGTTTGCTTGGAGTTTGAGCAAAGCCCTAATCCTAAATATCAAATTTCAACACATCAGAAACCCCATTTGTGCCAGCAACCACACCATAACAACAACCTCAAGACCCTAGCAACTACCCAGAACACCATAGCACTGGCCTGGAAATCACTCAGAACAGTCTAGCAACCATGTACCAACAACCTAACAACCTCAAAAAAAACACATAGCATCTGACAACCACTAACAACCACCAAAACACCTTAGCAACACCCTAGAAACCACCCTAAATACCGTAGTCTGGACTGGCAATCACCCAGAACAGTCTAACAACCATGCAGCAACAACCTAGCAGCCACAAAAAAATACATAGCAACTAACAACGACATAGCAACCACCAGAACACCTTAGCAACACCCTAGAAACCACCCTAAACACCACTGGCCTGGCAATCACCAACAATAGTCTAACAACCATGTAGCAACACCCTAGCAACCAACAGATCACCACAGCAACTGCAGAGCAACATCCTTGGCAACCATCCTGAAGGCACTAACAACCACTTAGCAAACCACCAGAGCACCTTAGCAACACCCTAGAAACCACCCTAAACATCACTGGCCTGGCAGTCAACAAGAACAGTCTTGCAACCATGCAGCAACACCCTAGCAACCAACAGATCACCACAGCAACTGCAGTGCAACATCCTTGGCAACCATCCTGAACACACTAACAACCACTTAGCAACCACCAGA